GACAAATTGTTGGAGAAGAAGTAAATTACAGATTTATTGACTATTTTATGAGGTTAGGGAGACAGTTCATTAAGAAGCCCTTGCAAAAGATGATTCTTCTTGTAACGAGAGCCAGTTGCTGTGGAATGATCGATATACATTAGAATAGTCGCAGCTGACTCAGGGCAACTCCTGATGAATGATGTTTCCACCTGTTGACATAAGTCTGTGTGAAGTGTTCCAGGCCAAAAGCAGAAGGCCTTTTGCTTAACAGTCTAACTCAGAGTTGAGCAGGACCACAGAAGGCGTGGTTTCTCTACCTCAACAGCAGGTCCTTGATTTGCTTCTCTCTCTTTCCCGTGGAAATCCCAAGGAAACCAATTATGTCACTGAGTTGGAAGATTGGTCAATGTTTTTGGCATCTGGCATAAGAATTCTAAAGCTATGAATTTCATGAAAAGATACATCTTAACCAAAATTGAAGACTCTTAGGGATTGAGTGAACTATCTCTCTGCTGGAATTCTACTCAAAAGAAGTTTGGGCGAATATTCTCTCTTAAAAATGTCTATTCTTGTTTGTAACTTAATGAGTTTCAGTGGGACTTTTGGGTAATAATGTACAACTTGATCCTATGTGAAGCTGAGGCTAAAATATTTATCTATTAAACGAGATGCCTCTGCAGACCACCTACCTCTATTTTCTGAAATGCCAATAAGATTACATGAAAAAAGAATAGACTTACTAAATGTCTTTATATATGGGAAAAAATGAGCTCTACATATGCAAAGCGCCTGATGCCTGTTGTCAAATGGGACAACTAAAATAACTATCCGCATTCAGTTCAAATTGTCTGTTCAAAACTCAGTGGTGGAACAGTTCATACATTTCTTGATGTTGTACACCATCAGCCTTCTGATCTTTCTGAATGAACAGAAGTGACCCAGTGAACTTTTGAATGAATAGAAGTGAACTCACCTATTCTATAGATGCTATATTAATTCATCTTATTTGCTTGGGTTATTCTTCTTTTATATTGTTTCACCTTTTGGTAATTTCCCTCATGTCTAGCTAAGTCAAGTTTCAAAGGTCAGGTCCATACTGCATGGGAAGATGGACCGCGTGAAGGCTAGCACTACTCCATTCCTTGTACAGGGTCCACAGTTGCTGGAGCGCCCATGACTGCTCAGCTGCTTGGCGTCTCCCAGGCACTCGTGCCACACATTTTGTCATTGCTTTGGTCCACCTCCACATCTTACTGTTTTCCTCTTCCTCTTTCCATGCTTCTTGCTGTAGCTGGCATCTGAAATGCCCTGGCCCAAACACATATGTTAAAGCTTTATTCCCCAGTCTGTGTCATGACTGTTAGATGGTAGAAACCTCAGAAGGTGGAGCCTAGTGAGAAGGCGTTAGGGCCTTAGGGTGGCTCTTGAGAGGGACACTGGGACTCTAGCTGCTCCCTCTACTCTTGCTTCGGATCACCAAGTGGTGAACGGCTTCCTCCACCCTGAGCACCTGCCGCTAGAGGCGCTCTGTCACTACAAGTGCCAGGTGACAGGTCCAAGCAACCAAGGACTCAAAACTCTGAGACTGTGAGCAGAATAAAGTTGATTATCTCAGGGATTTTTGTGACAGTGACAGAAAGCTAACACACTTCTCATATTGTTACTGTTACTTTCCTTTGTCTCTGTGTCCTACAATACTAACATGTATGACATCTGATTTTGTTATTGAAGTCATAGTTTCAAAATACACTATTAATCACTGAAGAACATCTTCAATAAATGCCATAGACTGACATAGAGCAACCTTCAATGTCATTTGCAACAAAATCATCAGAAAGGCAACTTTCTGGATGAAGAGCAAAGGGAAATGAATGGGGTATCTATTTAATAGTAAAAGAGAAGCCAATAGAATGAATAAAAATTTATGGAAATACTTCAGATCTCATTCCAAGGAACCAAGACAAAGAAATAAAAAATTATAATGAATGTGTTTGCAGCATATTGCTAATTACCCACCCAATTGGTATGTACTGCATGTATGATGATAAAACATCTATTTTGTTCAGGTACATAGTAACCATGGAGTTGGGAAGGTGAATGCTTTCTACTCTTGTGAAGGATTCTTAATCACTCAACACCATCATGAAATTTACATTCCTGCCATGTATGAGACTGTGGTGACATTATAGCCAATGAGGGGACTCCTGTGGGGGGATTTAGGAAGGTTTTCTTTAACCTCAAAATGTGTAACAAAATGAAGACTTTCCCATCCTGCCTTTGAACGGTTTTGTAAGTTCACCATGCAGAGAGCTGTGACAACTACCTTGTGACTGAGTCTATAGCCTGGGGATGAAAGGCAAGACAATGGGAATTCTGAAAATACCCAGACTGAGCCACTAAACTAACTAGCCCTAAAACTGATATTTCTAAATTTCTAGAAGTATGACTTACTAAATTTGTTATTATTTAAACTGATTTTAGTTGAGTTTTCTCTAAAATTGCAGCTGGTTACAATCTTTCTGATAAATTGGCCAAAAGTTACTAGTTTCTTTAATGTTTGGCTACATCTAGCTAAGAAGTTTAAGAGGTGTTTTGACATCTACCAAAGCTGATTCTAATCATGATGACCTAGAACAGTCACATAAAAGTCTCTGATTTATTTGTAGTGAGTAATATAATTTTAACACATTTGTATTGCATTTTATTTATTTGGCATTGTGGGACCAATACACACACAGCAAAATATAAATGTGTGAAAATATTATTTCTCAAGGGGGATTTTTTTAGAATACAAAAGCTGGTCAATAAGACCTTGACCACAATGAAATTATGTGAATGCACAAAGTAATGACAAACTTTAACTTCAGAGAGCATGGATTGAAAATATGTGTCTGAATATATCCACTTGGTACTTGTTATTGAGATATTTCTCAAGTTTTAGTTGAACTTGGTTCTTTTACTCCAAATATTTGAGTACTTGCAGATCTTGAATGGCAAATACAGTATTCCTTCTTATCCATGGGAGATGCATTGCAAGACCCCAAGTGGGTGCCTGATCCCCATGCATGGTATGTTTTTCTCCTAGCATTGCCATGAAATATCAGATTTAATCTGAACTCTTGAGTGTTATGGCTTACTGCTTCCTTTACATCACTACTTTTGTATTTTGGAGCCATTATTATATTTAAAGAGGTTTACACAAACACAATACCCTGACAGTTGCTCTTACAACAGAGAGCTATTAGGTGACTAATGGGTGGGTCGCACATATAGTGTGGATAAAATGTGCAAAGGGAGGGTTGCCTGCCAGGTCTCTTCATTAGGGTGGTGAGAGATTTATCACATACTTAGAAATGTGTGCAATTTATTTATTTTTAAAAATATGTATTTATTTGTTTGTTTGGTGCAGGGTTTCACTACACAGCTCAGACTCAATGATCCTCCTGTTTCAGCCTCCCCAGTGCTGGGATTATAGGCGTGCACCATCACACCCAGTTTGAGGGCTGGCCTGGTGCACCCAGGTTGCTGGGGCTGGTGCAGCATGTAGTACCAGGGATTGAACCTGGGTCCTTGTACTGGCCACTGAGGCACTTGGACTGCCGAGCTATCTCCCTAGCCCTATAGTATGCAATTTAAAACTTATAAATTTTCATTTTATTTCTGGAATTTTCCATTCAATAATTTTGGACCACATCTGCTTTGGAGAAACTAAAACCAAGGAGCGTGAAACTGCGTATAAGGGGGAGATTACTGTAAAACAGAGGCTTAAATTATGCTAACATTTATCCCATTGATTTTGAGCTTAAGCAGGCTGACAGGATGGATAAGAATATGTAACTTGTATACTTACATGAGAAACATAAGAATTAACAATATATCTAAGTCATTACTAATTCTTGCTTGGTGATATTGTATAGCTCCAAGCCTAAAACACATTAGAAGTTCAAAAACATAAAGTTCTCATACAAAAAAATATGAAAGCAGAATATATATAACTAGAAAATGTATTTGAACTAGCTACAAGAAATTTATCTCTAGTAATTGGGAAGAACAGGATAAGCAGCAAAATAAAACTAAATAAAACTAACACTGGAACTTTGAAGACTCAAAAAAGCATTCACATAGAATATCAGTGCTTTCCAGAGTTCATGTTTGACCTCAGATTGAAAGACAGAAAGATAGAGAAGTAATTTTTTTTTTTACACTTACAGTTAAGTATTCAGTGATTAATCAAAATGGGTATAATCATCTAAAACTGAGGTGCTATTAGGTAACCAGAAAGAATTTGATTTATAGATCTTCAATTAATATTAAAGTTAATTAAATTTAATATTTATGAGATGACTGATTTTAACAAGCAATGAAAGTAATGTAATTGGTTTGGTTTGGTTTGGTTTGGTTTGGTTTGGTTTGGTTTGGTTTGGTTTGGTTTGGTTTGATTATTACGAGGGACCCAATAAGGACCTTGCCTGTGCTAAGCACCCACTCCACCACAAAACTAGCTCTGCCTCCATCCATAATATAATTCTAAAGTGGAATTCCAATAAGCTGTCACTATGAGAGAAAAAAGATTTGCTTTTTTCTGGTTAATGAGAATATCGTGCTGGATGTAAACCAGCGTGATTTTGATACATGACACCCTCTGCTGGTCGAAGTCTGTCACTACAAGATTACACCAGATCACCGGAAGCTGGACAGAGGCTTGATTAGTCTCCAAGTACAGAATCAGCTCGGGCAGTGGAGATATAAAAAACACCTGTGTCTGAGCCATGCCTCCGATCACCTGAAGCTAAATCTCTTAAGGCAGGTGCGATACACCTGCATATTTTGGAAGCTCGCCAGCCTGTTAGAAATGCTTGGGAAGATTGTGATGAAGTGTTCATGGAGATACACAAGCGTTACTGTGAGAGCTGAGCCAGGCGCATGTGGGAGGTACTTACCTGAGCCAGGAAGCTTATATTCTAACTCAGTAGAAAGAACAGTGAAGTGATCGTGTGTCATCATCGAAGGCTGCTTACCTTGGGCTTCTCGTCCTGGATCTGCTGGCGGATCTCCTTGTGTTTCTCCACAAGCTTCTCATGCCTTTTACTTTGTGCCTCTTCTAGCTATAAGGAAGTTAGCAGAAAGAATAAAAGGGTCACTTCCAGGAAAAAAAAATATCAAAAGTGTATGTGTTTTCAAAAGGAAATGGAACGGAAGGACTAGCCCTGAAAGTTGCAATCTTGTCTTTCACTAAGGACAACTAAAGTTTCTTTTGGGAAAACTCCCTTTTATGTCATCTCTCAGCTCCTACTGCAGGATGTGATTTTTGCCTGGCCATTTTATATCATTTTTTACATATACGTATGTTGCCATTAAACTTGCAGAAATTTTGATTACAGAGTGCCACAGAGCAGCTCGCCTGGGTGCTGGGGAGGAACAGACACCACACAGCACGCCTGTCCTCCCGGAAGGCCACAGGGGCTGGCTGGCCTAATGCTCACACACAGTTTGCAAGCAGGAGAGCACGATGAAGCACCCGTACCCTCTTGATGTACTGCACCACTTCCTGGATGTATGACCGTATCATCTCCGTCTTCTCTCTGAAAGCAAAAAGTGAATAAATCATAATGCAGTCATCCAGAACCAACAAACATGGAACTCTCATATTGCTAGTTTAAAGTATGCAGAACTCTCTCCTGAGTGAGTGTGTGTGGGGGGGGGAGTGGGTCCGAGGATCAAACTCGGGACCTTGCACATCCTGGGCAAGTGCTCTACCATTAAGCCACGTCCTTATTCCCCACAGCATTTTATTACCCTCACAAGTAAAGGCCAATCTCCTACTCTTGAACAAAGATAGTTTCCTCCACACCTGAAGGCTGAGGCTCTGAATTCCCTGAATGCTGAGAAGATTGGTTGAAAGTTTGGGAAGTGAGGATTGAGACATTTCCCGACAGACCTTATCTAGAAAGCCCTGGTTGTGTCTCAATCTTTACTTTAATTCTACTTTTCTTGCAAGTTCACTGCAAAAATCCTTACAAAGGCATCCTTCAGAAGCTTCAAGGAAACACTTCAGAGAGGGGACTTTGGTTAACGGACTGATACTTGGATACAGAAATTTTTAAAATAAAATTTCTAGGTACCAAGTGGAGAGTGAGTTCCACTTACTCTTCCATCTGGCTTTTGTCTTTGGATTTAGCTTCTGTTATCTTCTCCTGCCTCTTTTTATCCATTTTCTTTTTCAATTCCTTCTTTTCTCTGAAGTCAACATGGAAGTATAAGAGAAAAAGAACACACACATCAAATGGCAATTGGTGTTTGATCAACTTAAGAACACACATTAATTAAAATGGGAATGAAGGCTTACTTTTCACAGATTTCTTTGAGTTTCTTTAATTGACTGTTCTGACACTCTTCAGCAACATCCGTCAACTTCTGAATAAGCTGGGGAAAGAAAATACCAGTTTGATGTTTTTTATGATCACAAACAGAGCACCCTCCTCCCAGGCTTCCCACCATCTGTATCTGAAGCAACCAAATCTGTGATGAATGTTTAACAATAGACAAAACTGCCAGACATCTAACATTGGCAATGGAGGCATAATTTAAAAGCACCACATTATCTGGGCCTATGAGTTTTAATATGAAATTCTTCTTAGTGTCTCTTTTTAATTAAACGAAATTCGTTAGATTGATGTTCCATTTACTACAGCTTGGCTCAGGGCAAAGGCAAGAGGAAGGAGGTTTCTGTCTGTAGAACTTTTTTGAAATGTGATTTATGGCAAAAATGTTCATTGTCTGAACCTATATTCTTGATAGGAAATGTGATTTTCACTGACTATAAAGTCATATCAGTATGACTATGATACAATGTAGGTTATAATCAGCCATAATTTATAATTCTTGGTTCCTATCCACCATCATTGCAGAAATCCTTCAAGGATAACATGAGTTACCCATGTTAGAAGAGGTGTTTGTGTCTTTGACACATAACTTTGGGTGGTGATAAAAAAAAAAAAAAAAACATTGAAACTCTCTTCTGCCCACCACTGAACTGCATTGTGAGCAATGCAATTGTTTTATCATGTTGAATCCATTTGCTTAACAAACTAAGCCCACAAGGGATGCTATTGGGTCATCCTATCATCACACTTATGATATAGGTTCTTTGAAAGAATAAATAAAATTGAAAAACCCTTAGCCAATCTAATCAAAAAAGGAAAGAAAAAACATAAATTCACACAATAAGAAGTGCAAAGGGCAAAATCAATACAGATCTTAGAGAAATTCAGGTCATTAATTCCTACTTCCAAAATCTTTACTCTCACCATATGTCAAACACAGAGGAAATGGACAGTTTCCAAGGTACATATGAAATGCCAAAGCTAAGTCAAGAAGATATACAAACTCTCACTAATCCAATGAGAAATGAAATTGAAAATACAATAAAAATCCTATCCACAAGAAGGGGCCAGGTCCTGATGGACTCGCAGCAGAATTCAATATGAAATTTAGAGAAGATTTAATGCCAACTTTTCTCAAACAGTTCAATGAAATTGAAAGGGAAGCAATCCTCCCAAACTCCTTCCTGGAGGCAAGTATTACTCTGATTCCTAAACAAGAGAAAGATTAAAAAAATAGAAAAACAACTATAGGTCAATATCTCTAATGAATTGATATGTAAAAATCCTCAATAAAATAATGCAGCAAATCATCAAGAAGATTATACAGCATGACAAAGTGGAATTCATCCCAGGAATGCAGGGATGGTTCAACATATGCAATTCCATAAATATAGTATAGCACATCAATAGAGCCAAGAACAAAAAACACATGATCATTTTAATAGATGCAGAAAAAGCTTCTGACAAAGTCCAACATTCATTCATGATAAAAACCCTACAGAAAATAGGAATTGATGGTCTATATCGCAACCTGATAAAAGCTATCTATGACAGCCCAACAGCCAGCATCATACTAAATGGGCAAAAACTGAAGGCCTTCACTTTAAAATCAGGAACAAGACAAGGATGTTCACTGTCTCCACTCTTATTCAATATAGTTCTTGAATCATTACCCAGAGCAATTAGACAAGAGAAAGAAATAAAAGGGATAAGGACTGGAAAAGAAGTAGTGAAATTATCATTATTTGCAGATGACATACTCTATATAGAGGACTGCAAAAACTCCACCAAGAGCCTTATAGATTTAATAACCTAATTCAGTAATGTAGCAGAATACAAAGTCAACAACCAGGAATCAGTAGCATTTTTGTACAAAAACAATGATCACACTGAGAGGGAAATTAGGAAAACCATACCTTTCACAATAACATCCCCCTAAAAGAAAAGAAATATATAGAAATCAGTCTCACAAAGGAAGTAAAAGATTTATACAGTGAAAATTATGGAACTCTAAGAAAAAGATTAAAGAAGATTTGAGAAAATGAAATAACATTCCACTCTCCTGAATAGGAAGAACAAACATTGTGAAAATGACCATATTCCCCAAATTGTTATACAGATTTAATGCAATCCCAATTAAAATACCATTAGTATATCTCACAAAGCTAGATAAAATGTCTCTCAAATTCATCTGGAACCAGAAGAGACCCAGAATATAAAAAACAATCCCAGGAAACAAAGGAAAGTTAGGAGGTATCACAATCCCTGACCTAAAATTATACTCTGAAGCTGCTGTGATAAAATCAGCAAGATACTGGCAAAAACACAGACCTAAGGATCAGTGGAACAGATTAGAAGATCCAGACACAACTATAAAAACACTCAGCAACCTTATCTTCGATAAAAAGGCCAAACATGTTCACTGTAAGAAAGCCTCTTTAATAAAGTGGTGCTGGAAAAGCTGGATTCCACATGCTTAAGGCTAAAATTAGACCCATGTCTATCATCATCCAATAAAACTGAATTGAAGATTTAAACATTAAAACAGAAACACTAAGTTTTCTGGAGGAACATGTAAGAAAAAGTCTTAAAGACATGGGGGTAGGTAGAGAGTTCATGAACAAAAACCAAACTGCATAGGAAATATTTTAAAGAATCAACAACTCGGATCTCATACTTTTGAAAAGTTTCTTCACTTCAAAGGAAATCTCCAACAGATTAAAAAGAAAAGCCACAAAGTGGGAAAAAAAATATAGCCAATTGTCCCTCTGACAAAGGCCTGCCATCTAGAACATACAAAGAATTTTTTAAAAGTCAAGCCCCCCCCAAATTCAAAGACCCAATCCAAAAATGGGCATGGGCATCTGAGATGAATATACTTTTCAGTTGAAGAGACACAAATGCAAGGTAAATATATAAAAAAAAGTTCAACATTATTGGTCATTTGAGGAACGCAAATTAACACAACACTGAAATTCCATCTCACCCCAGAAAGAATAGTTAACATCAAGAAGTCATCCAATAACAAATGCTGGAGGTGCTGTGGGGAAAAGGAACCCTTCTCTACTGTTGGTGGGAATGCAGGCTGGTACAACCACTATGGAAATCAGTGTGGCAATTCCTTAAAAAGCTAGGTTTAGAGTTCTCATTCAAGCCAGCTGTTCTCCTCCTGGGTACTTTTCCAGGAGACCTAAAAACATCATATCACAGAGATATATGTAGCTATGTTTATAGCAGTGCAATTTGTCATAGCTAAATTTTAGAAACAACCCAAATGTCCATCAACTGAGGAATGGATAAAGAAGACATGGTATTTTTACACAATGGAGTATTATTCAGCTATAAAACAGATAATTAGGAGGCATTTATTGTTAAATAGGTGCAACTAGACACTATACTCTTAGGTGAAATAAATCAGACCCTCATGCCCAAATATCATATTATCTCCTTAGTATGAGAACCTGAAAGAGAAAATAAAATTTGAAGGGTACAATAGATACTGGGGAAAATGAATGAACCTACTCAAAAGAAGGGAATTACTGAGTTGAGGAGAAGGACAGAATAGGTAGTGAGGGGAAGAGATATATCTATGTATGTAAGCAGAATGGTTTAGACAGCTGTACTGTGGATTTATGCTGGACTATGGAAAGGAGCAGTTAATGCTGAATTTGTTTTGTCTATTTTTTTTCAATTCTTTGACCTCTGTTTATTCTTAATTTCTTATATATATTTTTCTTTCTTCTTCCAATTTTCCATACATGTATCTGGTAATATGCATAACTAGTTGGAAAACAACACTATGTATTATAATAAATATGGTAAGAGTCATACTGTTGAGGCGGCGGGATCCTGAACAGACCCAGAGCGCAGGCCCGGGAGTGAGTGAGACAACCCAGGCCTTGGGATCCTGAACAGACCCAGAGCGCAGGCCCGGGAGTGAGTGAGACAACCCAGGCCGCGGGATCCTGAACAGACCCAGAGTGCAGGCCCGGCGGGTGAGTGAGACGACCCAGGCCGCGGGGTCCTGAACAGACCCAGAGCACAGGCCGGTGAGTGAGTGAGATGACCCAGGGCCGGGTGGGATCCTGAATAGACCCAGAGCGCAGGCCCAGCACAGAACCCTTCAGCAGAACTCCCTACAAAGAGGCTAGAGGCAAGACCCACCCAGCTGA